TTTCTATTCCTCGGGTGCTCGGTCACCGTTTTTTCCAACGGTCAGGTTCGTTCGCGAGTCGGAACGCTGGTCGAATCATCATCGGCATCGTAATGGAGACTCGTGGGAAACGTGATACGCGATTTGGATAGTACACGATACACGGTGATCAAGGAGTGAAGAGGAAGGTAGATCGAGATTTTTTTCGAGTGGACCGAATCGATCTACACGTACGACCGGGTGAAACGATACGAAGATAGTGTGCGCGGAAAAAAGTTGTTTCGTGTAAAAATTATTTATACGTTTTTTTTATTTCGTGTGTACTGGGTGGAGATAAAGTTGGTGTTGACCACAACCTTGTTCAATTACGGTGCGTTTTTTTTATTCGTTGAGCGCTAGTGGGAACTAGCGACCGGTTGACCAGTGAGGATTATAATTCGTCGGAGAGATTGGAAGGACGCGAGAATTCTATTCGATTGTGTGCGACCTAGGAACAGAAAGGGAGAACATTTTCAAGGACCCTCGGTTTCTTCGTCCCTCGAGGTTGGCGAGGGAATCGAACGCCTAGCCGTCGGACGCTGCCTGGCCGTGCTTCGATCTTGGACCACCGATCTTGCGGAAGTACGGCTCGATTTGCCGCGACCAAGGATCCGTTCTACCGTGCCTCGTCCATTTTTTCGTCCTAACTTGGATAGCCACGAAACCGGAGTGCTTCTCATGTGTCAGTGACAGTTCTGTGTGTTCCGGTTTAAATTTCTCGTGCGATGTACCCAGACCACGTCGTCCTCGTCTTCCATCTTGTAAGTACACGAGCTACGTTACATCGGTGTGATCCGTGCGTTGCCCGTCCTGGAAAATCTGACGAGATTCCCGCGCTTTTCCGTTAACGCGTGAACGGCGAATAACGGCGAATGGAAGAATAGTAGGTGGTTTCGGGTTGGTGATTCGTGTTGGAAAGAAATCGTGTGCGAAGATCGAGGGAAGAAGGTGAACATAGCTCGTGGACACGATATCCTCTATCGTGAAAGCAAAGGTCAC